TTTTTTAGGAATGTTTCACTTCAAAAGAATACGTGCACTGATCTTACAGTCATATAAACTTGAAGATGAAATGAGTAGATTTTAAGTGTGGTTAAGGTTGTGGTTGTCATTCTACATGAAGAAGAAATCAAAAAAATGTTCATGATGCATAATATGTATTTAACGTCTCTGAAGTTTTGGGGGGTTTGGATAAGTAGTTCAGACTAGGACATGCTTTAAATCCACCAATTCTTCATTGAAACAAAGACTGTACCTTAAAACTTTGGCCTTCCATCAGTTTAAAACATCTTTTGTAAATTTGCTTCTTTTATTATGTTTTGATCAAACTTATGGGTCTTCCTAGCCTCTTTTTCTCATTTTTTTAAATTATATTTTATTTAATCAATTTACTGAATATGACATGATTGTCAGCTGTAGTATTGTTCAAAAATATTGCTACAGCAGTTATTATATTTTAGCACTTCAGTACAGTAGGTGATTTTAATGAGAAATTCCAGGTTATTGAGTTTCAGATTGTTTTAAACTAAAACATTCAACTTTTTAAGTCAATATCAGTTTAACATGATCATTTCCATAAAATTTATCTGAAATGACTTTGCAGTCAGCTCACTTCAGTGGTTTTGATTAATCCCAGTACTAACTTTGCTACACAGCATTTTAGGTTTACCCATAACACTGTTGGATTGGATCCTATTTAGGCATAGCAGGGCTAATTTATATATAACTTGATGGCTGCACAAACAAGTGCACAAATAAGCATTCCTATTTCCCCCGGGCTTGGATAGGTTGTGCTGAAAATCCACGTTATGCTTTCACTCTTCTTACAATCAAACTAGTTAAACACAACGGAGGTTTGCTTATTGGTACTGAAAATCACACATTCTGGCAGAGGTGTTGACTTACCATTTTCCCTTGTGTGCTCTAGACACAGTTATTCCAAGAAACAGTCAGTAACACACTGAGAAGTACATAGTGTGATTGCAATTTGAATAACAGGTATACACACAGCTGGAAACATTGCTAGTGATGATTCCTCTTCAATTTTTCAAACTTAGTCACATTTTCCTGGGTTTTCATAAATATATGCTCTCATATTTGCCGGACTTGGCAAACATCATAAATATAATATTTAAGAAAAAAAAAAATTGGTTTGAGACAGAAATTTGTGAAGAGATAAAAAATTGAAAGAAACAGGGATGTTCCTGCAGATTTTTCACCTGCTTATCATAAGTGTATCTATTTCTTATAGTGTGTATAGTGTAACCATGTGGTGATTTCTAGTCAGAAAACTTCTTTAATTAGGGATGCAAGAATCTCTATGTACAGTCAGAAAATGTCCCTCATAATCTCAAGTGTTTATGTAGGTAATGCAGGAATACTTTGACTTTTTCATTTCAGGTAGTTTTAATAAAGATGATCAACTTCTTCCACAGATTCTTGATTTCATTATATTATTCTTATTTTTATCCATTGTTATAGAGGAAAATATATAATTAAAAGGCACCTAATTTTTTATTCTGGAGTCTTCTGGCTTTTTGAAATACTATTTTATCCTTCCTTCCTTCCTGCCTGCCTTCCTTCCTGCCTTCCTTCCTTCCTGCCTGCCTTCCTTCCTTCCTTCCTGCCTTCCTTCCTTTCCTTCCTTCCTGCCTTCCTGCCTTCCTGCCTGCCTTCCTGCCTTCCTTCCTGCCTTTCCTGCCTTTCCTGCCTTCCTGCCTTCCTTCCTGTTTTCCGGCCTTCCTGTTTTCCTGCCTTCCTGCCTTCCTGCCTTCCTGCCTGCCTGCCTGCCTGCCTCCCTTTTCACTTAATTTATTCTCACTTTTTTTCATAGGAGCAATAGTCCTAATATGTATTGCTCTATCAGTAATTTTTCTTTTTGTTCTTATTACATGACATGGCAGCCAGGAGGGCCAACCCTGTCCTGGGGGGCATCAGGCACAGCATGGCCAGCCAGGCAAGGGAGGGCATTGTCCTGCTCTGCTCTGAGCTGGTGCAGCCCCACCTTGAAAATTGTGTGCACTTCTGTGTGACAGGGAAGAGAAGGTGCGGGAAGGTGCGGGAAGGGAAGGTGCGGGAAGGTGCGGGAAGGGAAGGTGCGGGAAGGTGCGGGAAGGTGCGGGAAGGTGCGGGAAGGGAAGGTGCGGGAAGGGAAGGTGCGGGAAGGGAAGGGAAGGTACGGGAAGGGAAGGTGCGGGAAGGGAAGGGAAGGGAAGGGAAGGGAAGGGAAGNAGGAAGGCAGGAAGGAAGGCAGGAAGGAAGGCAGGAAGGCAGGAAGGCAGGAAGGCAGGAAGGAAGGAAGGAAGGAAGGAAGGAAGGAAGGAAGGAAGGAAGGAAGGAAGGAAGGAAGGAAGGAAAAAAAAATAAAGGAGGAGGGCAACCAAGATGGAAAAGTGTTTGAGGGAAAGCTGCCTGAGGAATGGCTGGAGCCACTTGTTCTATTCAGCCTGGACAAGGTGAGACCTAGGGGAGATCCCATTGCAGTTACAATTTTCTCATGAGGAGAAGAGGAAGGGCAGACACTGATATCGTCTCTGTGGTGACTGGTGACTCGAGGGAACGGTGTGATGTTCTGTCAGGGGAGATTTAGGTTGGATAGTAGTAAAAGGTTCTTCACCCAGAGGGAGTTTGGGCACTGGATCTGTGTCCTCAGGGAAGCTGTCACAGCACCACGTCCGACAGAGTTCAAGAAGAATTTGGACAATGCTTTTAGGCATACAGTGTTCTTGGGGTGTCCTGTTCAGGGCCAGGAGTTGAACTTCAATGATGCATGTCTCCCAGTTCAGTTTATGATTCTGTGGTTCTATGACTTGTTTTACACAGCACTCTAACCTCAAATTTCCTTTTAAATTCTACAGGACAGAACCAGCTAGAAGTTTTTAGTGTACTGCTTTAATAGCTTTAAATTTTGAGCATCTATTTAAGTTGTTTTTTTTCCAGTTAGGGCACCCAATTCCTTAGCTGGAGGAATGGTACAAAAGGACTACAAGAAGAAATATATATATATAAGGACTACAAGAAGAAATATATATATATATTTGTATAGAAATATATATATATATGTACATAATCTTATTTACATCTGTATGTACACCTTGACTTTTGAATTAGAATTCTTATGACTGTTTTTGGATATAGACAATATCTCTTTCTAGAATGGACTGCCTGGATCACTTTAAAAAATTACGAAACTACTTTTATTTGTTCTAATGCAAATGCTAGAAATTCTTATTCCAGTAGTTTTTATATTCCTGAAGGCCAAGTAAATGTCAACTAAACAGAGGAAAGAGTAACTCAGATCCTTTCTTTTGTCTTCATATTAGAACCCAAAAGACATTTTTTGCTGTTTATATCCTTTTTCTCCAGGAAAAGTACACAAACTCTTCTTCAAAGTAAAACTCAGCTTTACTTGTGTCTTTTATGGAGAGTTCCCTAGCTTAAAGTCCATTATGGTACTTATGCTGTCATCCTCCTCATCAAATATAAACATTTCATAGACTTAGTATTTCTCAGGCAGTGTCAAAGCACTGGATCATATTCACTTCTCTTTTATTCATGCCTCTCCATTGACTGTAATGAAGTTGGACTAAGTGATAATGTTAAACACAGACATATTTTTTCTTATCTGTTCCAATAGAGTTCCTTCCTTACAAGTATATTTCAAATTAAATATGACAGGTGCACTGCCAACATTTTTTGTTCAGTGATTATCAGCAAAGTAAATTCTGAATGAAGCGGATTTCTCTAGTTTTCATATATTTTTACAAGAGGCATGGTTGGGCATCTCACATAACACATGGTAGTATATTTGTTCCTTTCTCATGCTTACTAAATATTATTTTATTATTCTAAAATATTTTGTAAGTACATTATAAAATATTTTATAAAATAAGTAAAGTAATATGTATATCATAATCTTTATAAAGTAAATTCTTATTCTGTTATACTTCTTCTACTGCTCTCAGAAATATTAGTTTCTGGGAATTATTTTGTGAAGATGTACATTAATCACAAGATTCAGTGTGTATTTTATTGTCTCTCTTAACAATGTCATCATCCAGGGTTGATTTTGTAAGCCATTACAGTAAATCATGAGATGTAAATAACTCGAGAATTTTTGTTAGTTGTGTCCCACAGCATATGGGTTTTATGCTTACTTATCTTATGAGAGAAACTGTCTCTGCTGTAAAAAAGTAGAGCACTTAGGTAATCACAATAACTCTGATGAATGTGTATATTATCTATCACTTTATATATTTGAACAAAGCACAGAGAATTATTTTCCTGGTATGCTGTATTTCTTACATCTACTGTAACTCCACATTTTTACTTTTCATTGCAGCTGTTATAGTTGTAAGTTTTTACCCATAAAGGCAAATATTTTTGAGACATAACTAGTTAATTATTTAGAAACAGTGTTCATACATTTGGTATGAAAAAAATCACAATTAAATAAATAAATCCATATTAAAACAAACAAGCAAACAAACAAACAGCCCACCAACAAGAACTATAAATACTGATAGCAGAAAGAAAAAAACAAACCAATAAACATTTGTAAAAACACCATTTGCATCATTTTGATATATTAATTGATTTACATACTTATACACTTAAAGTTGTTTCTGTCTAAAGGTACAAAAAATTTTTGGTAAATTAGATCTTAAAATATAAAGATGAAACTCTTTAATAAGTGAAGAAGTCAGCAATGACAAAATTGTGTGGTAACTGATGAGACAGCCATACATGCTGCATTTCTTGATGGTTCTGGTGGGCTTGAAAGAGTAAAGAGTAGCTTATGGCATGGATAAAGGATTAAAAAGTGGATAAAGATGAAACCAATGAATAAAAGTGGAAACCAAGTATTTATGGTACATTGCCTGCAACAGAAATTGTTCCATGGATACTCAGAGCAGCTAGTTGCAAGTGTCTCAAATACATTTCTTATAAGTTCCCAACCAGCTCAAACTGTTTTTGATTTTACATAAGGAATTTTTACCTACCAACTCTAGACATCTCCGGAATACTGGCCGTGTACATGTCCTTGGTGAATTTTGGTTCATTGTCATTGATATCGTGGATTTTAATGATAAATTCAGACTCTGGCTCCACTTGTCTTCCAGTTTTTCTGTCTATAGCCTTGGCACGTAGCACATACAGGGACTTTTCTTCTCTGTCCAATTTCTTTGCAGCATGAATATCTCCTGTATTTTCATCTATAATGAACAGACTGCCAGCCCCATCTCCCGTTAATATGTATTTTAAATTTCCATCTCCTTTATCTTGGTCAGTGTGTAGCTTCAGAGAGGTAGAAAAGAAGAATTTTATAAATATATATATTGTTATTACAGACCAAATAATTCAGCATATATGAATAAGTCTGTACAATCTTGACTATAATTGGGGTGAGTAGTGGTTATCTTCTGTCAGCCTGCTGGAAAAATTGAAAATTTTAGACTCAGTCATACACAAAAAATAGCTGCAAACAAACTCATAAGGACAGAGAAGGATGTAGAGAATATTGAAATAGCACTTAAAATAACAAATCTATAACAAAAAATTCTATTTCTTTGAACAGTCTGTCCAGAAATTACCAGAATTCTCCATCTGGAAGATGAAAGTAATGGTAAAACTCCCAAATTTCCATTTGTAAAATAACTCTTGCCTTGTATTTACTGGTTGTTGAGAAGTCAACCCGGTACCTTGAAACATACTAGAACAAATGAGTTTTAAGTATTAGAGATTGTGAACGTCCCCAAATCACCTATAAATGTTCTGATTTAAGTAATTGATGTTTCTCGTTGTATTGTTCTCTCTTTTTTTTTTCAAGGCACATCTTACCTCCGTTGATTAATTCCTTCTTTCTAGTCCTCTCCACACAGAAGAAATAATTTTCAAGAACACTAGGAGGTAAATGTTCAAAGCATAGAGAGGGCTTTAACAATCCTTTTCCTACTCAACCTCTTCTTAAGAGTTCAAAACTCTGTCCCTGTGAACTTGCAGGCACTGGTTAATTTGCCGTACAACACCCTTATGAAAAAGTGTCTAAAACCAAAATCAAATCAAGCCATTGAAGTTGACTCAGGCACTAGAAATTTTTATTTAATGCACTTCTTCAGGCATCTATTCCTCTTATTTCATTTACATGGCCTTATAGTTCATTTTTATGAGCTTCTGCAGTATATTTTCCTTATACAGATCCTTACAGTCACATCTGACCACAACTGGTGACTGAGTGCTTCTCAAGCATGGAAAGAGAGAATCTTAGCATGTTTTTTACTTCTCTGAGTAGAAAATTATAGTATATCAACAACCTGAGAAAATCTTCTACAGGATCAATAGTGGTATTTTTTTAGAGAGTCACTAAAATAAGGGTTTTTTTGACATGTCTTGCCTTGTTCCTATATTCCTGTCAGTGTTACCTCCACGTTTCATAGCTGAGAAATTGCAAATTTTTATTATTTTACCTGTATGAAGGATAATTACAGGATTGAAGGACTACAATAGATTTTTACTGAATTACTCACTTTAATTTTTCCTCTATTTTAACACTGTATCATAACACTTTTTACCTTTTTACTATTTACCATCTATTATCTATTATCTATCTATCTATATATTACTATTATAGTAGTATTTACACTTTTTACCTTTTTTACTACCTGATTACTGTTTTGGTCTTCAGAGATGAGACTGAATGAGATAATACTATCCAAGGTACGTCATCTCATAGTAAGTTCTAGTGCCTACTGTGTTCAGTGTGTATCTGTGATAGATACCTGTGAGAATTATTAAGGATTGCATGGTCATCTGTTAAAAAGAGGTTCTATACACTAAAAGGTGCAGATGAACAGCAAGCTATAAACATAAATACAAGCTTGCCAATCTCATTTTGTCTGCTTGTATGATCAACTCTGCTGTTAATCCAGGGTACACAACCTTTTGAAGGGGACAACAATGTGCAAGTAGTGGCAGCAGCGATATTTTCTATGTTAACAAGTGGTTCTGATAAAAAATTATATCTGTCTATTGTCATTTCTTTACCCATCTTCCTAACAATATGCAGAGATTAAGTTAATTTATCTTATCCATCTAACTATCTACTTAGTTTAAAATATCTGCAAAGATGTCAGGTAACTCAAACTTTGATAGGTATTTTGAGCTTCCTACTTGTCTCATGCTTCTAACAAATGATAAACAGAATTTTCAAGCGTGATAGAATTGTGACTAGAATGTGATTTCCTAGCAATGAAGAGTGCCACCACCTATTGCCAATTTACTATTAGGAAGTACTAAAAGGACATTTGTAAGCTACCACTTATCCTAAATACGAGAATTTCTAATTCCCATGTATGTTTTGTTTTGCTCTTCACATTAGAATGACCTCCATTTATCTGTGAAGCAATTTTGCAAAATCATAGCTTGTGAAAAGCTTCTTATTATTTAGAATTATATAACTACAAAATGCGCTTTCAACTTATGAGACAGAGTAACTTCAAATAATATTGTGAAGGTTTATGCAAAATTAGTATACTGATATATATACTTGTAAAGAGACACTGCAATGTAATTTTGACCAATCTATGCTGTGTTTCTTGATGACTGGTAATCTTCTGTGAACTGCTTAAATATTTTGAATTTATAATATAAAATACAATTCTAGCTTTTCAAATGTTAATTGTTCTACATAAAGTCTACAGAAAATTGCCTTGCTGTAAGTCACATGCAAAAATGTGGTGTGTTATAATAATCATGCCCTTTAATTGACTAAAACCGAGGAACAAGAACAGAAACATTTTCTAATTCATATTTCCAGTTACAGTAAATCATTTAACATACAACATGCTTTTTGGAATTTTTATCATTAGTAAACTGTTTAGGTGTGTGAAAGAGGCTCAGATTTTCAAACTGGAAAAACAGTATTAATACATGTGATCTGAAGTAATCCTTGACTGCTGTCATTTCCCTCCACCTTTTACAGACTCAGCAGGTCTGGGAATGCCCACCATTTGCAGAAAGCAAAGCATCATTCCTGTTGTTTATTCTAGATGATTATTTCTCTAAGTGGATTGGAGTAGATTAGAAAGCAAAAACTTCACATGGGTGGAAAACGGACTCTTCAAACATTTCCTTTTTCATATCACAGATTGTTCATTCTGCAAGTCAGATAACCATGAAACAATTTGATAAATTAAAAATAAGACCTACAACTGACACCCCCCCAAATCAAACCTACAAAGAAAAATCTAAACAAATACCCCCAGAAACCCCAAACAAAAGCAGATAATACATTATATTTCTCAATATATATGTATAATACATAGTGACCACTGAAAACAAATGTTATTCCCATTAATTTGTTTGAAACATGTTGGAATGAAGACATAACCCAGATGTACTGCTGAGTATCTGGATTTCTTAATACTCCTTTGCACACAAATCTCTCTTTGTAGTCTTCTGTGTGATTGGCTAAACAGTTGTCAACACAAATTTTCCTGTGGACAAAGATATTGGTAATGATTAGGGGAATGATAATCACCTATTTTTTTAACAATGTATGTCTTATAAATATGGGCATACTTATAAATTCTCTCACAAACTTTTTTTTTTCCTTTTTTTTATAGATGAAGTGTACTTCTCAAATCAGCCTGTCTATCCAGTTTTGTGAACTCAATTTTTATATGATGTGATAATTGAAATCTTGATGTTCTCAAAAATCTTGACATAAATTTACGTGGATCACTGTTACTCTATTTTTCAATAAATAAATGAATAAGTAAGCAGTGATTATCTCAAAGTTCTGTAGCATAATTCTACTTTCCATAAATGAAGTACCTTGTTCCTCTAGTTTACCCTTCACCTTTATTTAGTACTCAATATTTATCAAAAAAGGTGTATATGGCACATAACTTCTTGGTTTCAGGCAGTATTTTATTTGACTAGGCATTCTTAGTATGTGTAACTCATGACTTCTCTCAGAAGTGCTGTTATTATGCACAGTAGACAAGAAATCAGTATTCTTTGAAGTGAAAATACATCTCAAATTATTAAGTTCAGGAATTGGTATGGAATGTCAAACAAAATATAGAGTAAAAAAAACTATATTACCTTAGAAATGAGTTCCTTAAAGGTCCATGTTTCTTATTAATTCAGTTTTAATTTACTAAATTTCCAGTAAATTGCAGGGGATCTCATTCTTAACTCTTTCTAATAGACAGTAACTCTTTTCAAGTTAGCCAGACATATAATCAATGGAAGAGGAGGGAATCAATGAACACAGTAAACAAATTATATAGTGATATGAATACATTTTCTGCATTTAGAAAAAAGAAATTGACAGACCTCATTTAGATTTTATTTTATTTGCAGTTTACTTCCATACAACTATTGTTGCAGACAAAAAGGAGAAAAAAGAGCAATAAGAGCTACTTTTTACTCGTGATGGTTATGAATAAACACAGTGAAAATGTTTATTTAGTTGCCTAAATTCAGAAAAGTGGTATAATGCACTTTGTGGAGAGGGGAGAGCAGAAATTAAAGACAAAGACACATTGGGAGAGGAGAGACCCATGTTTATGTTGCAGTAAGCTACCTGCTAATGCTTACAAATTAGGAGGTTTACAATGTGCCTCTATATCTTGGTATAGAAAAAGGTCTATTACTACAGATCTCTTACCTCCACTGCCTCCACACATACAGTTGTCTCTGGCAGACAAATCTTTATGTCCTGTGGTCTATTTGCCTGTAAATACTTTTTAGTAGGTGAGAGCAATTTTCTTTCCTCACCTTTAAAGTGAAGAAAATACATTGAGGGGTATGGTCAAAAGAACTCTTTAGTGGCACTAAATTGGTATATCTGCATATGTTAGTGGGAGATGAAGGCCAGGCTAATTTCCACATTATTTCTGGAATAATTCTGGTTAATTTCTGGTAGTAGAAACTATTACCAGAACACAAGTGAACCTCTTAAAAGGTATGTTGATGAATCAGGATTGATGATTGCATGGAGCTGCAGTTCAAGTTAGAATACAGATGCACATGGGAGAGCAAAAAAGGTGCAAATGCAGAGTTTTAAAGTCAGAAATATTGTAAAGGGGGGAGGAAGTGTTCAGATATTTCATAAAATTATCAGGTGGGTAGGTAGGTAGGCAGGTAGGTGTTTTGAATCTGATCTGAAGGACAAATGAATTTGTGGTCATGTCTAGTCCCAGACCCAACTACCTGAAACTCCAAACACACTAACACCCTGGTAACAAGGGATTGAGCAGAGGTTCCTATTTGTCTCAGCTATTTTTACT